AGTCACTCGAATGTGTTTAGAGGACAGTAATTACCAATCGATTGCTTTTTCTTTGAAATTATTTATTTCCTGTCAACCAATCATTCATTTCTTAAGTATTTGTTTGTCTTTTATTTAAGTTATTATAGAATTTTAGGTTTAATCCATAGATAAAAGACTTGTATTACTTTAACACTGGTTTTTAACTTATTTAGTGATAACTGAGAGATTTAAATATCTGACAACTATTAATAGTTCCTTTAATTTATTCATTAATCCCGTAATTTCAGTATTCGTTTAAAAGTTGTCACCTGATTATTTTGTGCTCTAATTATTGTATCATTCAATTAAGACTATAATTATTTTGATTCCAATTACAAATTAATATAATGTAAATCTAATATCAAATAAATTTCATTTTTCAACAATTATTGTTTTAACTTTTGTAAACTTGAAACTTAGAAGTGAACTTGAGCCAATCCATGTGTAGTTTGTGTTGCCAATCGATTTTGCTATCATTAAATACACGATGTATTATATTTCAGTCTCAATATTCATACCCAATGTTTTAGTTCACTTGAAATTCCTTCGAGTGTTTTCCAGCAGTTTATAACGTTAAGTGGCTTTCAATGGGATACTACCGTACTGTACATGGCTTTCAATAGGATAACAGAAATAACAGTACAATGTCCGGTGCAGTAGACTATTGACTTTATGGGAAGGGCTATCATTGTTGTACAAAGAAGTGTTGCATTATTTATTATATAAGTTATTCATCTGTTGGTAAGAACAAGGATTCAAAGATCTAGCCGTATGTATAGACAAATATTAACTTATCTCTAAATATAGTCCAAACATCTATTGTTTTTAGCAAAAGTTAATGTAATATTGTATTAGTTTTTTTGGGACATTTATCTGTTTTAGTAAACCGATAATATTTAGAACTTTTTTTATTGAACTTTTAAAGTTCTCTAATCAAGAAAATATTTTTAAAAAATTAAATAACCTTTTATAAAAATGCACAACTTTTATTAAATGTACAAATTTCATTATCAAAACTAAATCATTTAATACGATAAATACTAGTTTTCAGATGATTTACTAGGATTAATCATTTAAATCCACAAACTGTGATAATCTTGGATTAACTGTGGAATTGATATGCAATAAGATATGATATTAGATCTATAAAGAACTGACTATTTTGTGATCAACCGGTGTTTTAGTAAATAAATTGACATGTACTGTATATTGCGAGTCTATTGCTTATATCATAAGAGATACAGTACATTGTATTATTAATATTTCTAATTTATAATATTAGGATCAATATATATTAACATTATATATTTATTTGCTACATTTTTACCATTTTTTACATTTGATTAATTATCAAAAACTTAATCGATTTGATAACTTATTATAAGTGAGTACTGTATAAGTTAATTAAGGTTTTGTTTGAATAACTTATTTGATTTATCAGTGAAAAGGTAGCAAAAAATAATAGATTAGCCCAACGTTTTCGATCTACACTGAGATCTTCATCGGGGCTTAAGAGATGGTAATAGATATTGAGTTTGTGTTCAATAATGACTGAATTGAAATGAGATGTTAGTATAAGTTAGTATTAATATAGTGTTCGTTTGTAAGTGCAAAGTGAGACCTGGGACCCAGGATCTGGGACCTGGGACCTGGGACCCGAGACCCAGGACCTGGGACCCTTGATTTTTAATGTACAGTATTTTGATAATTAAAATTCTGTAACCCAGGACCTGGGTTACAGAATTTTCATTATCAAAATACTGTACATTGAAAATCATTGAAAATGTTTGTATATTAGTGAACGACCCCTCACTGAACCACTGATTACCTCACGTTTTGAGCAAATATTTCAAACATTTCTTCAAATCATTGATTGGTTTCGAAAACTAATGACACGATTGACGACAGTATTGCTCGCAATCAAGACGTGCGGATCAGTTGAGTGATGAACAGTATGGCTGACTGTGAGGGTGACGGACAAGACAACCAGTTCTACGAGACTGTCATTCTGGACACTGGAGTGTGGTATGCCTGCGGACACGATGACTGCGACCACATCCAGAAGAATGAGCTGCAAATGATTGAGCACTTGAGACAACACTTCTCAGCACTCGATGGCCACCACTCCGATGACGGTATTATCACATGTCTTGCTTTCGCTGGACATTCACTCCAATAATGTATTTATTTATATCTCGTGTCAGATGTTGGATCAGTTGATGGCATCAATGAATCCAATGAATCGAAAGACTCCAAAATTATGATCAATTTGTCCGAAGAGTCCAATCATTTAAATGACAGTTCAGGTGATGAAGAGACCACTCATGAGCAACAAATGGATACAGATATGCCTCAATTGAACGCCAATTTAGACAATGATTGGGAGGTTTGGATTGAATCGAGAGAATTGAATGGAAGGGATAGACTGTACTGTCAGTGGACTGACTGTCGGTTCAACACAAACCTCAGAGTTGCCGCGAGAAGACATGTCTTTAACCATTTGAATGGAGTGTCGGTTCACACGACCTCTCCTAAGATCACAGAAACTGATTTCTGGAATCAGATCTTCAATGACGTCAACCATAACGACAAGTCTTCTGAGACGAAGAAAATAAAGACACCGACGAAGACACCAACGATGACACCGCGGAAGCAAAGCT